CTTTTGTTTATCATTTGGTGGCAGATTCAAAGCCAGCCCATGATAGCAAATCCTAGCAGGAGTAGGGGAAAAATTTACACTTAAACTACTTAATATCTTTTTTAAAAGAAAAAGTAGGCCATTTTGTTAAAAAGTAAAGAGTGGAATGGAACAAAAGCCTAATAGCACCATGGTTAGAATGCAGTATTGCACGCTAACTCTGCCCACTGCCATGAGTTCAATCCTCTTCAGCTCAAGGTTGACTCAGCCTTCCATCCTTCTGAGGTCAGTAAAATGAGGATTCAGATTGTTGGGGGAAATATGCTGATTCTGTAAAACCACTTAGAGAGGTCTGTAAAGCACTATGAAGCAGTATATAAGTTTAAGTGCTATTGCTATTGCTTAAATGCTATTTCAGGTTTATAGACAGAGCTTTTGCCTCCTCAGGATATGCACTCCAATATTAGTCTATTCCAGGTGTGTCAAATTCACATCACAGTGGCATCATGTGATGTATCAGGATTTCCCCCCCTTCGCTAAACCTGGCCTAGGCATGGCCAGTGTGTGACGCATCTGACCCACAGGCTGGGAGTTTGACAGCCCTGGCCTATTCCATTATATTTTCTGTCAGTGTTTACAAAATCCCCACTCTACCTCACCATTGTTCTTGCACATACTTTTCCTATGACATTTTGCACGCATGTTTTCATAACATGTTTTTATACGTATATTTCCTAATATACATATTTTGGGCCCAGAAATTCAATACTCACTCACCAGTGGCCCACCAGTGGCAGTCTCAGACAGTGAGGAGGTTGGGGAGGACCATGGGCCAGTCCTGGAGTCTGGGGAAGGCTCTGATGAGTGCTCTGCATCTGAGGCAGAGATGGGGTCAGGGCCATCTGACAGTTATCAGCTGCCTTCGGAGTTGGATATCAGTGGGGCAGAAGAACAGCTAGAGTCTGTTCCCGATTTGTGCATGCGCAAAGCTGCCAGGAGAAGAGAACAGCTAAGGAACAAGGGCCGACTCAGGAGTAAAGGCACAGATGGATGATAAATAGCCCCCCATAGGGAATAAAGAGGAGTGAAAGGGGTGGGGAGTTTGCAGGAGACAATTAGTTCAATTCATTAGGGTGAAGATCTGTTCCTGACTTTTTTGCCAAGTAATTGCTGCTACAGTGTGGCATTTGGAAGATATCGGCCTTGTAATTCTCCAAGCCTGATAAAGGTCTGTAGTTGTGTAATCTCATGAAAGACTGTTTGCCGGGACTTTGCTGGAGAGGAATTTTCCTTTAACCTAAATAAAAGAGGTTTTATCAGGACAAGGAGTCTGCTTCATGCTCTTGGGAAGCCTAGGTCAGAACAGTAGATATCCAATGTTATACTTTATATGCTTTTTCCCCCACTACACTTTGAAAATATAAAATTTTTGTTTTTTGTTTTTTTTAAAGCAACCATTCAGAGAGATCTGACTTAGCTCTGACCAATTTATCCTTTTTTCTATATTGTTTATGACGAGCTTATTTTGTATTGTGTGTGTGTGGGGGGAACTAGGCTGAAACAGAGAATGGTGGTGTTTTTTCCTATTTCATTTGTTATAGTCTTTAAATATAGAAATAATTTAACAAACAGCATACAAAGAAAAAAAAAGTCAAAGTCCAAGTTTCATCTTTAGGCTTTGCTATAGCAGTGCAGATTCACCACTAATAAAACGAAACCAGATCACAGTAGGTTTCATTTATGGGTTATTAATCTTAGTTGATTCAAATTTCATCTGAGGGAATTGATTTCCTGTTATATATTAGGGTTTCAATTATTCTTCAAACTAATAGAGCTTTAACATCTACCAGTTTTGCAAGATATGCTATATCTGACTGGTCTAGTAGGAAATCATGAATTATCACACACACACAAACCCACAAAAACAATCCCAATCCACTTTTTCCACGGAATCATTGAAATCCCACACGCCCTTGTGCCAGATATATACAGCACTCCTTGTTTAGCAACTGTCTCATTTACCAACCATTTGCTAATACCACAGTGATGAAACAGTAATTTTGTGACCAATTTTTAGGTCTGAAGAGCAAAAGAAAGATGAAGTAAGATTGTAAACACTTTCACTTAGCAACTGCTCCAATTAACAACCAAATTGCCGGTGCCAATTGGGGTTGCTAAACGAGGACCACCTGTACTGGCAAGGTTCTTGGCATTCCTATTTCCTTCCCCATTTGCCAGATCAACAGCAGCAGGTGTGTCTTGATCATTGCAGCAAATTTGGGAAGTGTGCTCTGAACTGCCAAATTTTATTGGAAAGGTTTACTTTTTTTTCCCCCTTGAACTCCCAGAAAGTAAAATTAACTGAGTTCAAAGGTTTCCATAATGCTGCTGATTGGGCAATGTTATTTTAAGAGAATCAGGAAAATAACTGGTCTTGTTTTGGGTTTAACTAAGCCTACAGGATATTAATTGACTTGGGTGAAATAATCCATTGTTGGTGCTTTCCTAATCCACTACCATCTTCATTAATTTAGTTGATCCTGGTTGAAAAATGCTTTGAATATCATTACAAAGAAAACGTCTATTTTGCCCGCAGAAGAAAATATAAATATTTTTTAAAAGAAAACTGAAGTGGCATCTTATTAATTATTTTCAGATGGTGAGATGAAAATCAATTATTCAGAAGTAGAAACAAAGCTCTTCTATAATTATATTTATCTATACTCCAGATATATGAAGGCATGTCTTCATGACTGTTATTATTGAGGATTTGTTTGTTTTTTTAAAGAAAAACAACAAGGTTCTTCCAGCTCTGGCACAATTTTTTCATTCATTATTTTAATTGCACTGACCTCCTATTAATAATAAAGATATTTGTCTCTGTACTGACCTACTATTAATAATAAAGATATTTGTCTCTATATTGCAAAAGAGAGGATGTAATGTTTCCATACTTCCTAACAGTTGAAAGAGCTGACCCCATAATCCTTGGATGTATCACGCTTTTTTAAAAGCTACAAATAGTGATTATGCTCAAAGCACTACATTAATATCAATAAACATGATCAGAAGAGTATAACTGAATGAGATTCTAAACTACAATAAACGCAATCCACACAAGTTTTCAAGTAGATGTATTGGAAAGCTGACTTCCATGACATTTGTAAATCCCTTGTTTATTCATTTATATTCTATTTTATACCTTCTTTCTTACTTTCTTTTTCTTGCTTGTTTGAATGTCATCTTTAAAACAATCAATTAAAAAAAGGTTAGTGGAAAGAGATTGTGATGCACCTGCAATCAAAATGGATTTGAGGAGGTTCTTTCTGAATCCCCAAATAAGCACTTTCTCTGATAAAGACAGCAGAGAAATTTTAATTCCCTTGGGGGGGGGTGAAGGAGGATGCCTATGGCTTGTTTGTCATGCAAAGGAAATGTATCAGGAGATATAGACAGATGATAGATAGATAGATAGATAGATAGATAGATAGATAGATAGATAGATAGATAGATAGATAGATAGATATAGATATAGATATAGATATAGATATAGATATAGATATAGATATAGATATAGATATAGATATAGATATTCAAGGAGAACAGAATGGGGGAATGAAAGAGATTTACTGTGTGACATGCTCCCTGTTTGAAGACCAGATTAACAACACACATCACTTCTGCAGCTCAAGCTGACAATTGCAGCAGAGTTCATTCAAGAAGAGAAAAAGAACCTGGTCCTTGTTGTATTAAGCATCCAAGAACCAGCAAGGCCACACTGATCAGTGAAACAAAATGCTGGCTCATATAAAGAATACTGAGATAACATGCATGTTACACCTAATAGGATAGGATTACCAAGTTTCTTCTTCTTCTTCTTCTTCTTCTTCTTCTTCTTCTTCTTCTTCTTCTTCTTCTTCTTCTTCTTCTTCTTCTTCTTCTTCTTCTTCTTCTTCTCCTCCTCCTCCTCCTCCTCCTCCTCCTCCTCCTCCTCCTCCTCCCTTCCTGTAATGTACATGTTTCAAGGACAGCAACAAGTGATTTCAAACACATGCTAATGATAAAACAATGCAATAATGAAAACACTGTAGGGACCAAAAGTCAAACCCCAATCCAAGCATTAAACTATGTAATCTTAAACCAATCACCACTGCTCAGTGTGATCTATTTAATAGGGATTTTAAAAATAAAAAATAAAATGTGATTTATGAGGACTAGATATATCAGTTGGAGTAAGAGTGGACTATGAACATAATAAACTTCTCACTTATTACATCATTCAGTCACTGCTGCAGCAACATAAAATCTGTAGCTGCATTGTTATTAAATGCTAATTCAAAAATACCTACTGTAAGAAATGTAGATTCGAATTGCCTTGTCCCCAGGGTTTTGTAAAAGGCATGCAGAGAGGGCATGCAGTAATCAAGATCTTTCTTTTTGTACAACATTTCTTTCTGAGCATAGGGTGGTAGTTCCCTTAACATTTTGAGATTAAAGTATTATAGAAGGGTCACTATTCTCTTGTTAAATTGATTACTTGCTAAAATGTGGGACAAATTCACTGATACAGTATTTTCTTAAAGGGAATTAAACTCTTCTCCTGAATGAGAAAATTGCCTGCAGAGTTAAAAGGCTGAATTCCAGTATTTTGCAAAAGAATTTTAGTGGGGAAATGGAAAGGCTTTCCTCACTGGAAGTTGGATAAGAGGGAGAGAAGTTCTGGAATGAAAAATCAAGGAGGAATTACAACTTTTCTCTGAAGGTCTTCCTGCAGGATTGATGTGTTTTAGAGGGTTTTTCCCCTCTGTTTCTCTCTCTCTCTCTCTGAATGTTTTCAGTAGTTCCCCCCCCCTTCCATTATGTTCTACTTGCATCTTCTTTTAAAAGCTAAGATAGGCATTGTAAAGTCTGAATGAGTCACCCAGAATACTTTCATCCAACTTTTTTGGATTTGTCCGCCCCTCAGAAGACTAAAGAAATAGTTCACAATAATTCAGTCTATGGCATATGTCTTACCTTTCTACAGCTTTGCTTTTCCACTTATAAAATGCATAGGAGGCCTCCTGTTCCTTTGTTCACTGGAGACATTCTGAAAGAAAGACTTGGAGGACAAACAACATAAAACAGATTATGTATTTTAATGTGTGCATCAGGCACATTACAGTTTTGTAGGGTTAATTTGAGAGGAAGGATGAGGAGAAATCTGGGAGTAAGCCCCTAACTCATAGCACATCTTCATGTAGTACATTTAACTATCTGGGACTGGCTGAGATTAATGATCGACTATCCTATACCTGAAGACCAGAGCTTTCTTCTCTAATGCAAATATAAAATTCATTCATTCATTCATTCATTCATTCAATCAATCAATCAATCAATCAATATCAGTATACATCTAACCTGCACAGAAGCTTCAAAGATTTTTGTTTTAGATACCAAAAAAGGTCCTGTACAAGTTGTCCATATATGGCTAGTGATTCATACTTTAATGGCCTGGTCACCAGTTTTATGAAGGCTTAATAATCAGAAAGTAGGCATATTTACATTAAGACCGAGCCAATAATTAGGGAACTGAGAAAGAACATTCTTCCCGGATCCTAAATTACTTGATTGTATCCGAAAGATGATTTCGAGTATTCTATGTACTGCTCAACTTTTTGTTGTTGTCGTTGTTCTATAAATTGAGAATCCCCTAGTCTTCTAAACAGGCATGTACTTCATGAAATACATGATCATGTACTTCATGAAATGTGTGGAGCTAGGGCAAAGCCTAAATTTGATTTAAATTAAATTTGGCCTTAATTAATGTTAAATGTAATTAAATGCAATTTTTTTCTTCTGTCACATTGACACTTGATCAAATTGCAACTTTTAAGCCAGGTCTAGGGTTGTCTTAAAGGCCTGGACAGGGGTATATAAGCATTACATAGGCTCCACAGATGTCTATCTATGGCCTGGCAAGGGGAAAATGTGAGATGGTAGAGAGAAAATTCTATCACTTTGCTTCCAGATGATGAAGATGAATTCCATCATAAGATTTCACACCTATTATCTGATGGATGAGGACAAAGTCAACAAAATTGTAGAGCGGTGGCCTTGAATAGCCCTAGGGATCAACACTTTTGATTTGCTATTTCATATTCCCTCCACTGATGTGTCACATTGCATCCTTTCTCTTTGACAGTAGATTGGACGTCCTATTCATATCTTCATTGAAAGCAGTTCATGCTTACCATGAAAATGAGCCACCCATCTATGTTTTAAAACATCTCTCCCAGCAGCAAAGGCATGGAATGAAATGAATGCATTCCAAAAAACAAGAATTACCAAAGATTTCCCAAAGGTTTGATTTTTTTTTCTTCCAAAGCCATTTGATTGTCTGTAATGCTGTTGCCAATGTAATTGTTCTGCATAGCAATATCTATCAATTAATTGTAACGGATTTTAGCTGGGATGTTTTAATATCTGGGCCAAAATTTGTTTAATTCTTTTAATAATTTTAAATTTTGTATCGGATGTTTTTTATTCTTGGCTATTCACCACCCTGAGTCCAGCAGGAGAAGGGCGGTATAAAAATTCAATAAAATAAATAAAAATAAATAAATATCTCTAATAAACAATACTTGGCCTTCCTTAATCTTAAAACAAAGTGTAACAAAACCAAGGTAGTGAAACTTGAATATATTTTAAATCACAATTTATTGTGCCAATGGCATCATAGTTCACAATCAGCATTTCAATCATTTCACCAATCTTGATGAAAGTGAAATGACAAATTAATCTACTATTTTACCAAGTAAATTAATAAAGTCATTCTCTGATTAAAACATGAATGCTTATTATTCATGCAGTATTCTTTGTCATAATTTGGAAATCTACAGTCAGAACCTGATGTAGCTCTGCTTATAAAATCTTTTCTCATAGCTTCATTTCCATATCGTGAAATGCTTCTGCTTATATTTAACACAAAAATAACTCTCTCGTATGAGCTTTTCTTGAAAGCTTTTGAGTTCATTATTTTACCCCGAGGAATGATTGTGAAATGGCCCAAAACATTAATTATAATACTTTCCTAATTCAAAACCTATTCTACACATTAAACACAATAACTTATGTTTACTCTAGCCCCTCTTTTTATTCTTTTACCTCCGAGCAGGCTATCATTTATAGGGAATGGAGTGCTGTTCATTTTAATAATTAAATAAATAAGCCTAAAGAAAGCCTTTGATCGCTGGGATGATTATTTTGTCTTGGATCAATTGCCATGTTGGTAATAGGCAATACAAGAGCTGCAAGCCTTAACGGCAAAATCTTATGGGATGGTGACACATCAGAACAGAACAAAACAACAGAAAATGGAGGAAATAATTACCACCATTATAGTTCTTGGCACTACAGACATATAGTAAAAAAATTAATAAATTTGAAAGATGTGTAAGATATAAACCTTTCTACATAGAGCAATAGCAATAGCACTTAGACTTATATGCAGCTTCACAGTGCTTTCTAAATGGTTTTGAACAGGGCGGTCAAACTCCCAGCCCACCGGCTGGATGTGTCACATGCTGGCCATGCCCATGTCCGGTTTAGTGAAGGGGGAAAAAGTCATTTGACACCACCTTGACAACATGAGTTTGACACCCCTGGTTTACAGAGTCAGCATATTGCCCCCAACAATCTGGGTCCTCATTTTACCGACCTCGGAAGGATGGAAGGCTGAGTCACTTTGAGCCAATGAGACTCGAACTGCCAAACTTCAGGCAATCAGCAGTCAGCAGAAGTAGCCTGCAGTACTGCATTCTAACCACTGTACCACCCCAGCAATCATGAAGTTATTATACTGGAATGTCATCCAGAGATGTTGACCTTGTATGGTTAAGCAGAGATTATTGATATCATAGAATTACAACTAGTCCTTGTTTTACAACCACAATTGAGCCCAAAATTTCTAAGTGAAATTGCTACGTGAAACATGTGTTAATGAATTTTGCCCCATTTACAACCTTTCTTGCCACTGCTGTTAAGTGAATCACCGCAGTTATTAAGTTAGTAACACAGTTGTTAAGTGAATCTGGTTTCCCCGTTGGCTTTGCTTGTCAGAAGGTCACAAATGGTGATCACATGACCCAAGGCATTGCAACCGTCATAAATACGAGCCAGTTGCCAAGCCTCTGAATTTTGATCATGGGACCACAGGGATGCTGCAATGGTCGTAAGTATGAAAAATGGTCCTAAGTCATTTTTTTTCCAGTGCCGTTGTAACTTTGAATGATCACTAAATGAACTGTTGTAAATTGAGGACGACCTGTACTTATTTATGTTACAGGAAAGTAAACTCTGAATTTTAAAGGCACTTCTCTATTCATCAAAAGAAGAATAAGAAAAGAAGTTCACCTCATGACCATATTCTTAGTGAATTTAACATGATTGCAGGAGAAAAGACATTCTTCCTTTTGGCCAGAAGTACAGTAGGCATTTTATATGCCACAAATTTGAGGAAATTAATTTAAAAATATTATTATTAATTATATTTTATCCCACCGTTTTTATATGTAACTCAAGGCAGTGAACCTACCTAATGCTTCTACAAACTATTTCCCCTTCAATAACAATTCTATGGAGTGGGTTGGGCTGAGAGACAATAACCAGCTCCCTCTTATCCAGTTGGCTTCCGTGATTATGTACCTATTTAAAGATGAACTGGATTATATCATGTAATTATGTAAAGTATTCTGGAATTGTTAAATACATGTTTGGAGCACTTTCACTTTGCTGGTATTACACCAGTATCTATAGCATAAGTGGGGGTGGGGGTGAGATTTAAATTCAGAGTCAGCAACTGAATCGAAGATATTTCATAAATTCCAATACAATCATACCATTTTATGACTCTGTGGTGCAGTCATATTGTCTACATCTATTTATGTTCATAATGATAACTTAAAGCAAGAAACATAAAGTTCCATAATGGGAAATTAAAGCAAGAATATAATAGGTTATGAAGAAAGAATATATTCATTATGAGAAACATATTCAGCTGGGGGAAAAAAGATTGAGGAGATGCAATAGAGATTATAAATGTAGTAGAGAAACATTATGCCTTTATCTTGATGGTACAATTCAGAGGAATCCAGTTAAATTGATTAGCAGTAAATTTAAGATATAAAAGTAGTTTTCCTCACAATCGATAATTAAAACAAATACTACTAATGAATAGTAGTAGTTAAGCCACTGGCTTAACTCGTTTCAGGAAAAGGGTAGACAAACACCTGGAAGATAATTGTAAGGATGAACAGCTATTGTTAGATCAACATGAAATCTGGATTTCAGAGATAATATACAAATAATTAAAGAGACCAAAGACAAAAGACAAGGTCATGAAGGACAGCCCTTCTTAGCATTTGTTACAATTTGGAATCAAATTAAATAAAACAATTTCTCATCAAACTGGAAACCATTATTGCAATTCACTGATTCCTAAAGAACACCTCAGAGGTGTTTAACAGATTGTTAATTCTCTATCCAAAAAAAGGGAATAAAAACAGATTAATGTCTTCTATTGCCTATGAAAACTCTTCAATCATTACATCTCTGACTATGTGCTGAGATGATAGAGTCTGGAGATAATGAATGGATCTGATGTGCAACTCCTTTTTGTGTCAAGAGAAGTTTCTTGGCCATAATTCCTGAATCAATGGCTTTACAGATCTATTATTTGGGGGAATTGGCAATTTAAACTAGGAAAATGTACTAGGAAAATGATACAGTAAGAACTAATTACTTCTGAAATATGCATTTTAAAAAATGAAAAGTCATTTGAAAAATTGTTTTGAAATTCATGAGCATTTTGAGCATACTATTCCCAATGAACACATTTTTGCAGAAAGTGTCCACTCAATTGTAATGAAGTTCATTGAAGGACACTATCAACATTTTGTATTTCCCTTTTTAGTTGTAAATTGAATCTCGGTCTTTGAAAAACTGCAAATTTGAGGGCAAAGCTGTACCAGGTCATCCTGCAATTCTAGGGGAAAATGCTGCAAATTGAGAAAATATTCCAATAGACACATTTTTCATTCTTCTGTATAAGTGGTAGCTATCTCCAGAATTCACTGAATTTCTCAAAGACGTCTCTGCAAGATGAAAAAAAGGAAAGATGAATGAGTTGGACATTGATTTTAACGAGAAAATTCTGTTTTGATCCTTAAGATGCTCATACAATACAGTAGGAAGCCTACTCCATTTCACGGAGAATATTATGCATATTATGTACATATTATATTATGTACATACATAACCCTAACCCATCACATTATTTCTTTTCAAACCAGGCAATATTATGCAAAGTGCAGAAAAGGAATAAGAAGTACTAAACTATAAGGTAAAGGTAAAGGTTCCCCTCGCACATATATGCTAGTTGTTCCCGACTCTAGGAGCCGGTGTTCATCTCCGTTTCAAAGCCAAAGAGTCAGCGCTGTCCGAAGATGTCTACATGGTCATGTGGCCGGCATGACTAAATGCCAAAGGGGCACGGAATGCTTTTGAACTGCTAGGTTGGCAGAAGCTGGTACAAGTAATGGGAGCTCACCCCGTTTTGCGGTACTAGGGATTCGAACCGCTGAACTGGCGGCAAGCTCGACAAGCTCAGCATCTTAGCCACTGAGCCACCGCATGTTCTTTATATATAATATAATATTACACACACACACACACACACACACACACACACACATATATATATATATATATATACTATAGCTCTGTTTAATTGTTGAACCATTCACTAAGCATTCTGTTTATTTTCACATATTGGCAACTAACTTTAACCCCACATTTATGCAAAATGTTTTATAATTTAAGCCTAATGACTTTATCATAAATGTTCCTTCAATCAAAGAAAGGATTGCATCACTTTCAAAGAACTGATCAGCAAAAATCTGTTCCTGCCAGATTGGGTTGCTGGCTCTTCCAGGCTCCTCCACGGGCCTCGTCTCACCTTGCCTCATGTCACGATACCACATATCTGACCAAGTACAGTGCCGGCTTCCACTCTCCGCATGCATGAATGCAGCTAGTTTTTCTCACCCATTTATCCACTCACAATATTGTATGCTTTCAAATAGCAGGAGCTTACCTTATCTCGTAGAGCTGGCCTCAAACCGCCAGAATGCAAACAATTCCTGGATCGAGAGAGAGAGGGCGGGGAGGGGGAGGGAGGGAGAGAGGGAGAGAGGGAGAGACAGAGACAGAGAGAGATTCCCAGATTAAAATTGTTTGCTTCCTAGCCTAAGGATGCTTTCCCTAATGAGAGAGAAAGACATCCTAGTTATGCAAACATTTCATCACTCAGAAGCTATCCAATCCATTCTTACAGATTTTCTGTGTTAACATATCACACTGAGCTACATTTTACTTATTAATGTTTTGCTGAATAAACTATAATTGCCCATCTAATGTTAATGTTATAATTCATCTATTGTTAAAATATAAACCATGGTTTAAACATCACACCTGATAGCCTTTGCAAAACATTACTTAGAACGAAGTAATGTCCAAAACATTATTTAGAACGATGCATTAACAAATCTATCGTATGTTCCATCTTTAATGCTAACACAGATAGACACACACAAACACAGAGACACACACAAGCACGCACACACACACACAATTAATACTTCAAAGATGTAAAGCAAGAAATTACAGACTATATAACAACGCTCTTTATATGGGTAATGTGTTTTATGAATACAGTATTTTAAATGTTGGTCTATTCATTTACTAGAAATTAGTAGAGGACCCAACAGATGGCAAAGCATGTGGTATGCTTCTTGCAATAAAATGAATGTTGCAGGCTTGAATACAGAGACGTGGCATACTAAAGCAGTGGATTTCACTGGCTTTCTGATGCAAAATTCTCTTCTGTTAACCCTTGTTTTCCTTTCCAGAGATCTATGTTTTTTTCCAATTGCATATTTTAGTTACATAAATGCACAGATAAATGGGTTTCATACAAATAAGATAAGAAGCCAGCTCAGCATAATAAATTTCTTATTGTTCATTCACTTTTTATCTTACATCTATGTTCTCACAACTGCTGTATTAGTGAAATGCAGAATAGACATATTTTCAACTAACAGGATTTCTGTTTTATAGGATGACTCAGACATTATGCTTGGCTTGAACCTGGCTTGGACCTATGCTTAGACCTGGCTACTCACATTTTTATTTAGAAGCATCTAGTTTTTAGGTGGCTAATTGTTCTTCAACTTGCAGAAAAGTGGCCATTTCTGGACAATGGAGCATTCTGGGTAGGAAACCCATGTTGCCAGAAACAGAACTATCTGCACAACATCTGGAATAAATGATCAGTCCCTCCCTTTGCATGAGTTACTTCTCCATTCCAATTTGTCCACCTTTGGGGGGTACCTGCCACTTAGCAAGGCCAGAGATTTTTCTTCACTGAAGCTTTGTAGTGAGTACATAAAGTACAGCCATGTATTTGAATCATTCATTTGAATCATTATCTGTAGCTATATCTATATTTATCTACATCATTGCTCTATGATCTATCTATGATCTATCTATCATCTATCTATCTCTATCTATCTACCTACCTACCGTCTATCTATCTATCTATCTATCTATCTATCTATCTATCTATCTATCCAGGGGTGGTATTCACTTACTTTCCTTACTGGTTCACAAATGTCTCTCTCTTCGCTCGCACGCATCCTGTCCATACATGTGCCTGGCCTTCCGTGCATATGCTTTGCTGGCAGGCACACCTTCCGAGCATGCGCCCAGCTTCAAAAATGTGCCTAAATAGAATGGCATAGAGCTGGGACGGGTGGGCGGCCCCACCTGTGATTTCCGCTACCAGTTCAGGTGAACCGTTCCAAACCAGCTAAATACTATCTATCTATCTATCTATCTATCTATCTATCTATCTATCTATCTATCATCTGTCTATCTATCATCTATCTATCTATCCTTGGCTTTCCTTGGACAAAAGCATCCACACAACTGGAAAACAATTTGATTGGAATAGTTCCATAGTCAACCCTATATGTATTAAGTTTAATAGTTTGATAGGGAAAGGATACAAAGCAACACCCATAAAGCAGTAATAAATTAAATTGGGATTTTACTGCACCATATAAACCTTTTAGTCAGAGATAAATCACGTTAATTTCAATTAAGCTGATTCCCCATAAGTGTTTAAAGTGCATATGATATCAGGAATTCTACACTACTTTCCCAATCAGTTTAAATCAGTACCAATAAAATGCTACTAAATGATAATCATAATCTATCCATTACTAATACCAAACTAAGAGCAAAACTTGAGCGGCACTCACTGCAACATTTTAGTTTTTTGTAGATTCTATTTCATGTCAGTGTCTCACTTATTTTGGTTATGTCATGAGGAGGAATTCATTGGAGAAAACAATTATATTTGGAAGAGTAATCAGTAGAAGGAAACCAGGCATCAAGGAACATGGGGGCTGGACCCCATCAAAGCTGCCACCAGCCAAAGCAGAGAATAATTCAAAGAAGTAGTGCAAGATCGGAAGATGTGGAGAGACACCTGGCCCATAGAATCACCAAGAGATGGACATCATTGACTAGAGAACATCATCATCATCATCACTTCATTTCCATATGTCACACGCAATAGGATGCTCCATATAACAAGAGATGCCATATTCAGTAGTTCCACTAGGCTGCCGTTTTCTCCACTTGAATACACTTATTGGTATGCCTGCTGAGCTGATTAGGTATACTACATAATCTCAATAAGCAGTTGAAGCATAATGCAATTTCATTAAGAGATAAAACAAGGAGGGATAAGGTTTTACCATGACATGATTTTTTGTTGGTAGGATCTATCATTTTGAACCTTCAGACTAACAGATATTAAAAGAACAACAAATTGTAATTCCATCTGAAGATATTATCCAGATATTATCATTAGGAATGGGAACAATCTACTTGATTTGGTTCAGGAGATCAGTAACCAATATGGAAAAAGTCTAATACCAATTATGGTTGAAGCAAGACTTAGAAAAATAACAGAAATCATTCATGGTGTGTGTGTGTTTTGTGTGTGTGTCTATATCTATTTTTATATCTATATATCATCAGTCAGTCAGTCAGTCAGTCAGTCTGTCTGTCTGTCTATCTATCTATCTATCTATCTATCTATCTCTATCTCTATCTTTCTCTCTCTCCTCCCCTCCCCTCCTCTCCTCCCTCTCCCTCCCACCTCCCCCCACCCTCTCTCTTTCTCTCTCCAAAAGAGCAGGATGGAATTTGCCAGAAAGTCAGGTCTTTATAAATGGAGGAAGTGTGCCATATTACCAGATTTCAGTATCTCATCTCTCCAGTTAAATAGAATGCTATTAGAGCCTTGTGGAAGTCTAAAATAGCAACATAAAAGGTCCAGGCTGAGGGATTCTACCACTGGAGAAAATGAAAATGAGATAAGATTCAGATGAATCTGATGTACCTGCCAGCTGTAAAACAGGTCATACATCAATTATGAATAGAACAATCTGATTCTCTTCAAATATTTTATACTTCATCTTCCATCAGCCAGCATACCAGTGGCAAATGCATGCAAATATTGCAATCAAAAGCACGAAGAGGCATGACATTTCCCCATTAATCACAATACAATATCAGTAATGCATACAATCTCTTAAGATAGAACATATGCTCTCTTCATCCCATCTCTCATCTCGTAACCAAAAAAAAACAAAAAACCCAACCCAAAACCAACAACAGCAAACCCCAAAGTCTCAACATTTGTTTCATATCAGCAAATGTCCAATAAGGGTTATGAGATATAACTAATTGTCTATATTAACTTTGACCCAATAAGCCAGCACTGTATTCCTTCTCATTATTTTTATCAGTCTTGATTTTAACCCCTTCTGATAAAGTCCCATATCTTGATTTCTTGTCATTTTTATTTGCCCTTTCTAAACGAATCTTTCAAAACTTTAGCAAACTTCTTTTGCACATCCATAAGACAAATGTGTCCTTTCTCAAAACTTTAGCAGATCTCATGTGTACATCTGGAAAGAAAAAGTTATTCAAATATCTCTTCTGATTTAATAGTTCTATATCTGTTTTGGCAATAAAATATCAACTGCCTTTCTTTGTATGTTCAATATGTCTTCTCATTTGTGGCAACATTTATATCCACATTCAAATTAATTAGATCTTTAGTAGCTTTACGATGATTCAATAAGCAATTTTCAAAAATGATTAGAAGCAAAGTTTGTGAATTTGGTGTGCTTTAAAGGACACCAATATGATTGTGAGCTTCATAATTGATCTCTTGGTCTCCTGGGAAGAGATCAGCTCTATGGGAAACTACTATCTTGTGGTCTCTTTGTCAGGAGCAGTAATCTGGGGCACATATGAACAATCTCCCATCCTTTCCTTGTCCTGAAAGGTTCTGAAGAACTGCTCTACCCACCAACTCTTCAGTCCTTGCTGTGGTTGTCTCTGCTGTCCCAGAGATATGTTTAGCTTGCCATGTTTCCACCAGAAGTCTCATTTATTCTCAAATTTGTGATATGCCGAAAAATTGAATGGCTTTTTTTTTTAATTGGGAAGTCCACAATGATATCAAATCAGACTATTTTTCAAAACAATTTACAAAATTCCCTTTCCTCTCCAGCCCTGTCAAATCCAACATGTGGATAAAAAGGATTTATTGACAAATGTGTAAAATCTCTGTTCACCAATAAAGAAGCTCTTAAATCTGTGCTAGCATCCACTATTTTTTATGCGTATCTTGTGTACCATTCTGAAAGATACAACAATTCTTTTTTTTTTTCCATTTCATGTTAGTTTAGTTAGTATGTTGTTGTACTTTGTGGCTATAGAATGGAATATTACAGTTGAATGTTTTCTTTTATTAAAATTTGTTCTTCTGATACTGAGTAGAGATCTGCAGGTGACAATTGAAGGATCAAATATAATCCTCCAAACCGTAATGTAAACCTCTATTGTCATTCCAGAATAGGAATGATTATTTTTTCAGTGTTATTTACACCCAGTTTCTCACATGGCTCTCTGCTTCTCTAGAGCCCTGCTGTGAGTGAATTCAAGAGTCAAAGTTTGCAAAAATATTTATACACTTCACATTGCAGATCAATTTATTTTTACCTATCTGTTTTCTGTGTCATCAAAACATACCAGTGTTTTGATGACACAGACATTATTTCCTAGGAAGATACAATT